CTATACTGGGGCATAAGAACCACATGGACCGCAGGGTGAGCGCCCCCTGCTGGCCTCACTAACACCTCTTCCAGCAGCAGCCTTAGTTTTTCCCAGGAGGTCTCTCATCCAGGTACTGACCAGGCTCACACCTGCTTAGCTTCAGTGGGTTGCCAGTTGTGAGTTGCAGGGTGATATGGATATGGTTGTAGCTCCGGGGATCACACTCACACTCCCCGTTTCTGGAAGTCACTCTCTTACAATACTGGCCACTCTAGAAATGGCAACAGACTTTGTTTTCCTTATAGTTCAAGTAAGATAAGATAAGATCACTTTATTGGCCATATACAATTTCTTGTATTAGGAATTTATCTTTTCGCATACCCTGGCTTTCTCTCCATGAGACACACAGACAGGGAGGGTCAGAGTGCAGGGTCGGTTATTTATAGCAGTTAAGGGCCTTGCTCAGGGGCCCAACGGAGTAGGATTCCTCTGCCGGCCACAGGATTTGAACCCGCAACCTTCCTGCCTCAGGCGCACAACCTTAACCACACTCCACTCCTAAGTTGTTTCTTTTCTTCTCTTTTCATCTTGGAATGAACTTTTACTTTTCTTAATAAGTTGCTTATTAACTTAAGTAGGTAGCTGCGTCAGCATGCGCAGGCTGCAAAGGAAACAAGTAAAGGTTTATTCCAGTGAAGAAGGCTCCACAGCCGAAACATTGGGTTTCTTTTCTTCTCTTTTCAGCATGGAATGAACTTTTACTTGTTCCTTCGTGTCCTTATTACTTACAACTTGCTACTTAACTTATCACTGCTACTAAATGAGTTTTGTAATATTAGCAATATATTCACTGTAGCTATGAAAAGTTCAGAAAGTTTTACATTGGAGCAAAACGTTTGAAGCTGAAACCCAGCGTTTGCCCCACGATCACCCCAGGTAGCCGTGCTGTGCGGCAGCAGACGAGAGGAGTCTCTCCCAGTGCATGCCCTTACAAACCAAGATCACAAGATCTCAGAGAGTGAAAAGGCAGCTCAACGCCTACATACTACTACACACAAACTGTTACACACATAGGTACACTGGCACACAATACACTCGCAGATATACGCAAAGTGTACACACACACTGACTCCTGCACCCCCCTGATCTCACACCAGACACAGAGTAGAAACTCCGAGACAGAGCGAACAGAAGTTCACAGCGAACTTCTAGCGCACTGTCCGTCCTTCTGCAGGGACACAGGCACCGCCGCCGCGCAGGACAGGCAAGCAGACTCATCTCGCCCGCAGATAAAAGGCAGAAGACAGACAGTACCTGCTAGTTCGGTCACGGCCGAAGTCTCCTGTTGCGTCTTTCTTCTTGTCCCCAAACTCGCACTCTTCCCGACTCCGGCGGCCCCTCACGCTGCCGCTGACGTCACCGGGCCCCACCCCGCCGCAGGCTGCTCCAATCACGACTCCGCCCCGCCCGTGATTGACACCGGGAAGGAGGAGGGATTAAAAATCTGTCAATCCGTCATACCAAAAATTTACAGATTGCTTTAACTAATGTACAGCAATATTATTTTTTGCAATACATTTTGACAGTGTTCCATCTGCTTGTATTAAAACCCATGTTTTGCAGAATATTCCGGATCATTACTCCTCCCAGTCACTGCTGTCTGTGCGCGTTGTGCAATACTGAGGCTGGTGCAATTCTTGGCAATTGCAACCAAATTTCGGAATTAGCACACAGGAGTGTACTAAATTGCGGACTAGTTAATACGGTACAATTGTATAGAAAAAACGTGCTGAACAAAATTGGAGAACAGATGATCTTGTGTTTAGTATAAGGATTTAGCATTGTTGTTCTACTTAGATACTGAATCAGAACATTTCAGTTAATCTGATCAGTAAATGTATATGTCGGCGAAGTTAATATTGTAACGCAACGGGGACTCAGGCGGGCGCCCTTGCCGCATTAGGGCGACCACCCACCGTCGGGGGCTCGAACCCGGGACCCGGCCCGGTGAGCCAAAGAGAGATCTCTCGATAACCCAGTAGCTGTAGTCCTGCTATCACAGGGAAGGGCAGTGACGTCATCCGCTCTGGTACGCCGGCTCTTACACAGTACCTGTCGGCCGTAAGCGTTACAATATATAATAATTACTTTGTCTGTTTCGTGTCTATATATAACTGAATGACCCAGACATTTTAATGTTTTTTACTTAAGAACTGCGTTTAGGATAAAATACAACAGATTAGGTATACTACATATTGTAACGCGACGGGGTTCTGGCAGGCGCCCTCCCGTTGGCGCTTACAGTCGGCCCCGCGCCGTCGGGGACGCAAACCCGGGCCTCTGGCGTCACTCAACAGGGACCCAGCCTGGTGAGATAAAGAGAGCTAAAGAGCAAAAATCTCTCTGTGGGCTGTGGGGAGATCTCTCTTTAGCTCACCCTGTTGAGTGACGACGGAGGCCCGGGTCCACGGGGCCGACCGTAAGTGGCAACGGCAAGGGCGCCCACCTGAACCCCGTTACGTTACAATATTAATGAGATGCTCAATTGCAATAATTGCAATTAGCTACGAAGCAAACAAGCACAATAGCTGTGGCTTTGAATCGAGCAAGTATTATAGCGTATTTTTGTTGCCCTCGGTAATCGATACACATTCAAGTGGAGATCTTTCATATGAGTAAGCGAACGCAGTGCTATTTCGGTTCTATGTATAAGACGTTTGTGAATGCAGTATATAAAGGTAAGTCTTATGCACTTTCATGAGCTACTTTTGTTGTTCTTCATCAAGTTTTTTTTTTAACAAACCCTGGCTCACACAAGTTCTTCCCTGCAGCCCCAATTCCTCAATATCCCTGCTTTCCCTGAGAGTCTGAAGTGCCGAGTCCCAAATACAACAAAATGATTCAATTGACACCCATAAGTGACAGAAAATATTCCCTGTTTAAATACGTATTTCCTTGTTTTCAGTTCTCTTCACAACCCAGGATATATGAAAATTCATGATCGCATATAAACGCTCTACATGATACAGCTACAGATAAAGATTGACATTAAACTTCATTATTAATAATGACGCTTTATTAATAAACGCATGTATTAATAAATGTGGTGTGAAAGCGATTTTAATCACATTTGACAAAACATTTTAAATTCATTACTTATTCTGCCACTAAATTGCTTAAAGTTATTTCTTTACTTTAGTAATCCCTAGAGGGCAGCAGCTGTTACTTTGGGTTTGCTGCAATTGAGAGTTCGGTGTTGCAGATTAATTTCAGTGGCCAAGTTTGTTGTAATTGGTGTTAAAATGGTCCACTAGTTTAGCACAGAGCTGCATGCTGATCTCGAGGTGAAGTCCAGCTTGTACACTCATAGGCAGAGCTCATGCTGGGATCTGTGGCATTAGGTGGACTGGACAGCAACTGAATCCCCCCAGACAGGACACAGGTCCATCACGGGGACTGGAACCCACAACCCACAACCCACCCATTATGAGATCAGAGACTTACCCAGTACACTATACTGACTCACCCTCATTTGTTACTGTTGTTGCTTCTACTGCCTGAAAAGAAAGAAAACCAGCTGTGTTTTGGTGGAATAGTTCTGTTACTGTGTATCTGGGAAACGTTGGTGGTGTTTGTTTTTCACACCCACCTCTGTGCCCACTCTGCCCAGTGCCACACCCACAGAGAACAGGCTTGTTAATGACCATGGTATCATTTCATTTAACATCATGAGGCTTCCTGGACACCTCCTGTCAAACATGAATACTGCCAGTGAGTTTGCAGCCTGTGGAAGAGATGGATTTCACTGTATGGATGGATTTTTCCCACCAACTGTGAGAACCTGCCTCTCTGTTTCCCTCACTCCTGGGCAGCTCAGTCCAGACAGACAGCGGTCACTGTACCAGGGACTCTAACACTGGACTGGCGCTGCCCACTTTGAAGAACCCATTGCCAATATGAACCCAGCTTGCATAGCCATGTACATTCACTGCCCTGTGAGGCTTACACCTGCTTCTTTCTGCCAACTAACAGTGCAGAAGGGCTGAAAATGTAGCAGTTTTTGAAGATTCGATTATTACTACCAAAACCACATTTGAACCTGCAGTTTAGTGTTTGGTGAAGTAACCAGAAGTTGCTTCAGCTCCACCAAAAACTAATCAGAAACTATGTGCAGTTTTGTCTGCCCCTGTTGTATATCACTATTGATTATATTTCTATAGAGCTTTTCATGTCTAAGAGATACAGGAGGAGAGCAACTGAAGTTGAGCACCTTGTAGAGAGACAGTAAGCGTTCTGCACCAGCAGCCCAGCTGCACAGAAGCTTCACCATCTGAATTAAGGGAGAACTTTAGGGATGCCAGATTATACAGATTAAAGAAGATCAGAGTGGAATTTAGACAGGACACCAGGGTTATGTCATTGGGAAATTCCCACAGGGTCTGTATCAGGACCACTGCTCTCCCTAGTTTATATCACTGATCTGGATTCTGTTATACCATAGTTGATAAACTACTCAAATTTGCAAGTGATACCAAATTAGTAGAACTGGAAAACACTGTAGAGGCAGAAAATAAAATAAAAAAACACTTAAATATAATACACTACTTGGATAGCAACTTGTGATGAAGATTTAGTTAGTTAATTCTCATAATAAAATTAGCCCATTATGATATTCCCACAATAATAAAAAAGCACTAATGTGGTTAAACTAAATCACACTCACCTTTTGTTTTAGTGCAGGTAAAGAAAACAATCAATTTTTATTTAGAAAGCAAAAACAGCAAAGAAAACCATCAGGTTAAATCTGTCAAGAAAAAAGTGAATCAAATGTGCTAGAAATGACCCCTTGACATAACCCTCAAGCCTTTTCTTGCAAGACGAAACCAGAGACGATGTTTCCAGCAAAATATCTCATCTCGATATGGAAATTCCCAAATCACCCAGGTGAGCAAAACCAACTCAGGCTACAGTGCAAGGCTCTGGAACACAGCGAAACTGTTACAACTGACAGATTTATCACACAGTAAACAACAAAACACAGAACAAACACACATGTGGTTAACAAATATTGAGAACTATTAACTGAGACACATTTTCCTACGGACTGCAGCCAGATCTGCTCAATATTTTAAATTTCACTTTTCTACAGACGTCAGGGAGGTAAGCACCTGCTCATCCCACACCTGGTATGTGACACTTAAACAGGATTACTCAGGGACTTTTTACAAGTATTAAGAATCCCCAGGGACAATGACTGGGTTAACCCAGCTGACTTCTTCAGAAGGAACAATGTTCATATTCAAAACTGAGAGCAGGAGACACTTCTTTACCCAAAGGGTTGTGGGAGTATGGAACAAGCTACCCAGCCATGATGTTGAAACTGATACCGTTAGATCAATTTGCAACTAACTACCAAACAGACTAGACAGGCTAAATTACCTCTCAATTTAACTGTTCTTATTAGATTTGTTTTTCATACCTAAATTCTGATTGTTTTCAGTGCCATAGTTTTGGGAATGTCCTTGGACATTCAATTCAATTCAAGGTGCTTTATTAGCATGACTGATGGGTACAATCAGTGGTGCCAAAGCAAATAAAAATAATAACAAGAAACGAAACAAAAGTAAAAGTAAAATAAAATCTACAGACATATTACAGACATTTACAAAAAAGACATATCATAAAATATTGACATTTACTGTATACTGAAGGAGCATTATTGGGAGACAGACTCACTGTTCCCCAGGCTGTAACAGGAGATCACATACTGGGCTGCCAGTTCAGCTGAGTTCCCTCTTCCCTCTCCCAGTCGGATTGGGACCCGTTGTGATTCTGGCAGGTGTGGGAATTCTGGGATTAGATTTCTGAATTTAGGGAAGAATGTTTCTCTAATCCTGTATCTATCACAGTGCAGTAGGAAGTGCACCTCTGTATCTATTTCTCCCCGCTGGCAGTGGGAGCACAGCCTGTCCTCTCTGGGCAGCCAAGTCTGCCTGTGTTGCCCAGTTTCTATGGCCAGGCTGTGGTCACTGAGCCTGTACTTCGTCAGGGTCTGTTTCTTTTTGCTGTTTCTTATCTTGGTTAAATATTCGGCTAGTGTGTATTGTCTGTGTAGGGTTCTGTAGCATTCTATTTATGTTGTGTGTGTCCCAGTGTGTGAGATATTGCTGTTTGATCTGTGCTGTGATGTGGTTGAGTCTGAGTTAGTGAGTTACTGTTGGTGTGGCTTGGGTCAGTGAGCCTCAGGACCAGCTGGCTCAGGGGGCTCTGTTTTGGGCTCAGCTCTTGGCTCAACAGGGCTTTGTGGTGGTAAGAATTTTGGTTGCTGTTTTTTAGGTGTAGCCAATACTTTAATGCTCTTTTCTGTATGTTTATCAATAGTGAGTATTGGCCTAATTCGGCCCTGCACCCATTGTTAGGTGTTTTTCT